TTTGGACGAATCTTGAGGACATTATGCTAAATGAAATAAGCCAGTCACAAAAAGACAAATACTGTGTGAGGTACCTAGAGTAGTCAAATTCACAGAGGCAGAAAATATAGAATGGTGGTCATCAGGGGCTGGAGGAAGGAAGGAATGAGGGGTTATTGTTTAATGGGTACAGAGTTTCAGTTTTACAAGACGAGAGGAGTTCTGGAGCTGGGTGGTGGTGATGGTTGCACAACATTATGAATGGATTTAATGGCACTGAACTATACATTTAAAAATGGTTATCCTGCACCTGTCAGCTGCAAAAAAAAAAAGATTAATTTAGTACATTTTATGCTATATATATTTTACCACAATTTAAAAAAACTTTATAAAGTGTTTTGGAATAAAGCCTAAAGCTTGCTGCAAACTGTTAAAGAAATGATTAACACCCAAGTAAGTCTCAGCCAGGAAAGAATAATCCATACAAACACTTCAGAATTTTGGAGAATTGCTCATTTCTAACACGGGTTGACAGCTAATTAGTAGCAGAAAATGGAGCCTTCCATGTTGAATATTCTTTCTAGCATACCAGGGTACCTACCTTATTCCTTAAAAAAAAAAAAATTCTCAGATGGCTGGGAAATTCATTGTTACCTCTTTCCCACCCTGTCACAGAAAGTATGACTTAGGGCAAATTGCCACATCACATATCATTATCCCAAGACATTTTCACTTAAAATGCNCCTAAACTAGTGGTTCTCCAAATCAGTTGCACATCTGAAGACCTAGAAAATTATTCTTTATTGTTCAATATACATTTCCAGGTTCATTCAACAATCTGGTTTTAAAAACTCTATAACACTTCTGAGGATATAGGAAATGCCTTAGATTTGTACGCTTGTGTTCATAGCAGCACTATTCACAACAGCTAAAATATGCAAGCAACCCAAGTGACCACTGATGAATAAATGGATAAGCAAAATATGGTGTACACACANTGACTTAGGGCAAATTGCCACATCACATATCATTATCCCAAGACATTTTCACTTAAAATGCTATTACAAGCACTTGGTTTTTTAAGAGGTAATTTAATAGCACAGAAGATGTCAAGTTTTCCCATAGAACGCCCAAGTATGATGATGTTCACGTGTATGACGCGTGCTCATGATCACAGCCAGTGTACCTGGGAGGGGGCCGGGTAGTATAGGACTCATAAGCTCTGCTTCAGTAAGCAATCTTCACAAACTTACTTTATTTCCGGTAATGCATGCATTTCCTAACTGATGGTGTCTTGGATAGTGATAACGGTTTGTTATGAGCCCAGAACTGGCAGCCACTATGTTAGGACATGACAAGGAAATGATTTATTTGTGCTGGTAGCTGACTGCCAAGGATGACATTGTGGGAGTTGATTGGATGACACCTTTGTTCTGGGAAGGCTCAAACCCAGCAGTGTCCCAACCATTTTCTGTGGTGGGATAGCACAGTCAGCTTGAGCTCTGTGTATGTGTCCAGAGCCATGGGCGCAGCTCATGCAGGGAAAGCTGGATTCTGGGACTCTACCCTGGTGCCATCTTGAATAGGCACCTTGTTTTGAGGAGAGCCTTGGTACAAAGAAAATGGCTCTTTTCAAACCCAGCCATTAGAAAAAGTAAGCGTTTTTACATGATGGTTGGCTAGTTTTACCATTGATTAGGAGAGCTATTGGATCTGGGGTATTTTGCAAGTTGCGAAGTAAGATTCCAGGATGGTCCTGATTGTTTACTTCCCTTTAATGTCTCATTAAATCAAGGCATCGTTACTTTTTCTCCATCTGCAGACCAGGTAAACAACTACTACCCAGAGGAGTTAAGGACTCAATATACAAAGAGGTTAAATAAGAGAAACCAAACAAAGCAGAACACCTTTATTTTAAAATAGGAATTGTATCAAATTATCCAAAAGAAACTCACAATGGAGAATATTTACATGGCAGCTATTGGAATAGGTTTGACTGCAGCTAGAAATTCTAAAATAACAGGGGCATAAACACAAGGGGTATATTCTCTGATTAAACTTAGCTGGGCATATTGCCGTCCTGTAAAATCTGGATTTTGCTACCAAAGAAGAAGCAGAGAATAGATGTCATGAGATGAATCATGGTCCTGGTCACATCTTCTCAAACTAGAGTATTACTCTCGAAATGAATAATAGATCTCATCACAGTGTGTCAGTTTTCCATGATCTTGACATTGTAGTAAAAATCCACAGCTCAGGGTTCTTTTGCTACGTTAACCTCTGAAACTTTTCAACCACTTATTTAAGAGCTCTGTGGCTCATTTTTCTTG